ACAAAATCAAACTTTATTAAAAAAAAAAAAAAGAACCAAAGTCATATTTAAACGGATATCCAAATGGCCCTAGCCAATCCTATTTATATTTTATCCAATCATCTTGGAATTTTTTAGAATATATTTAATGATAGGTCCTACTTAGATAACTACCTTAAGTTCTTTTTAGAATGTTCTATGATAGGTCCTACATAGACCATCAATCTAGCTCTAATTTTAAAAACTTCTAAATTTTTTTTAAAACTTTCTAAATATGGCTTCAACTACCTATCTCTGTACATCAATAATACAAATATCTTATCTATATCCCATTACAAGGAGCCTCAACTTATTTTATAGAAAATGACTTTGTCAAAAAATAAGAAATAACTTTTATCAAGAAAATTAAATATGTACATAGATGGTTGTTTATTATCTTTTGGAGATGTTATCCATAAGATTGTTCTTTTAGATATAGTCATTAAAGATCATAATAGCATAGTAATATTTAATGTAATAAGATCTCCCTTCAATACAGTTATTTTAAAATTATTATTTTAAAAAATATATAATCCTTAAATAAATTAATTTTTTTGTAATATTTATTTTTGATAGTTTAATTCAAAATCTTATTAGTCAAATAAAGATACATAAGTCTATTACATCCAAATTTATATTGATAGATGTAAGACCTTTCATATATATTGCAAAAGAAGGATTATCTTTTGTTATATATTCCACATCTATTACTAATAGTAGAAAGATGTCAAGTGGTATTCTTAGTTAGTTTTAAGATTTCTAGGATGGTTTTAAAAAATATATATACAAATAGATATTCTTTCAAAGTATTGACCTTATAATTGTTCAATTGATCTATAAAAAGGAACTCAATCTCTATTTGAATCAATCTACAACTTATCATAGAATGAGTTGGCTACATTAAAAGAGTATATTAATGAAAATTTGGCTAAAACTTCATGTGCTATTCAAAATCTCTAATTAAAGCTCATATCTTATTTGTTAAGAAAAAAAACGATATTTTGATGTATCACAACTAATAAATAAAAGAGATAAAAAAACATTATATTATAGAAGATCTTATTTTCAAACATTGTAGCAAATTAACTTTAAAATATAAATAATAATAGAAAAGATAAAATTAAAAAGTACTAATACTAATTTTTTATAAAATAAACTTTTATTTACTTTATAGGGCCATAATTAAATATAAAATAAAGTAGATTAGAAAATTAAATAATAATAGGCATGTATAAGAAAAAATTAAGAATAGATTTTAGAAAAATTTATCTCAAGAAGCTAAGAATTGATACCCAAAGAAGACCAATTGTCAATCTAGGTCGAAATCAAATCCTAGAGCACAAAATCATGTACCTTTATTGACTTTGGAGTTGTTTTGTAGATCAAAGAGTGAAATTTGTGAGAAAAATTGAAAAAAGATTTTTAAGCATTGATTTCATGTCATTAGAATCAATGTTGAGATTTTTAGGGATTTTTAAACTTAATAATGTTCTAAGTAGAATTAAGATTTGAAAAATAAAAATATATTTATAAATTTTAGGATTTCTTGAGTTTTGTGGTGCATATATGAGAAAAATTTGGATAATGTGTTGGTGTGCTAGTTATAAATGTGTATGCAAATTTTGAAGTCAATTAAAAAGTTAGATTGAAGTATATAGGGATTTTTGTGGATTGAAGTCTCAAAAATTGGAGTTTTAGGATTAGTGAGTATTTTTAAGATTTTTAGCAATTTTTTAATTGGATTAAAGTGATTTTTTTATAGATATTAGACTTAATTTTTAACATTGGAATAAAATTTGTAAGAAATTCAATAATTTTAAAAAAAGATATTGGTATTAGAAGTTTAGTATTTTAATTGAAATAGGAGGCTATCTAATACTCAATTGGATTATATTCAATTTCTTTCAATTGATAAGTGCAATCAATTTCATCTTTCTTTTGCTTGTTTCTAATCAAGATATTGAAAAGTATAAATTTTTTTAATTGATATCAATAATTTAATCATTAGTTGTTGAGGTTCTATTCAGCTACTAGATTTATTAAGAGTTTGTTTAAGATCTAAGATTTCATTAGGATTTGATTTAGGATTTATCTAAAATTTGATTAGGATTTAAGATTTGGTTTAGGATTTGATTAGGATTAGGATTTGGTTAGGATTTTGTTTAGAACTTGATTAGAATTTAATTAAGATTTGTTGAAATTTCAGATTTTATTAGGATTTCAACTAAGGTTTATCCTAGGGCTTGGTTAAGATTTAATCAGGATTTTAATTAGGATTATATTAGGATTTTTATTTTTAATATTCCTATAGGATTCTTTTTTATTTTTTAAATTTATTATTACTTCTTTAAATATTTATTTTTATATTTTTTTATGATTTTTTTTTAAAATTAAATCATGACTTCTTTGTATTTCTTTTATAACTTCTTTTAAATTTATTTTGATTGAATTTATTAGAGATTACTTAAAATTTATTTAAGACTCTATTAAACTTATTAGAATTGTTGTTTTATTTTTACTTACCTTCTATAGTTAGGTGCCCAGTGCATTTTCAAGCAAGAACACATGTAACATAATCACAAATCATTGCAGATGTGTATAGATTATGAAGGATTTAAGAAGTTCACCATTAAGTATAAATATCTTCAACCTTTGATTTCAAACTTCATAATCAACTCAATTAAGTAAATATCTATATAAAAATAGATCTACAAGGAGCATACAACCTAATCCGCATCAAAAAAAGAGATGAATGAAAGACTAATTTTCAAATTCGGATAGAAATTTGGAATATAATGTTATATCTTTTGGACTCACAAAGGCACTAGCTTCTTTTCAACATCTCATGAATATTATTTTTTGTGATTTTTTTGATGATTTTGTTGTCTGTTATTTAGACAATAGTTTAATCTACTTTAAAAATAAAGAATATAAATTTCATGTTTATTGTATATTATAAAAACTTAGAGATGTAGGATTATATGTCAAGATAGAAAAATATATATTCCACATAATGTTAATAGATAATTTGAAAATTAACCATAATTTTTTTAATATTTTGATAATTAAATATAATTAAAGAAACTATATATGAAAATATTGTTATATATATTTTGAAACAATATATAAAAATTTTGATACGTATATTTTTAAATAATTTATAAAAATACTAATATATATATATATATATATACTTAATAGAATTTTTATAGTTATACTTTCATATATTATATATAAATTAATTCAACAAAAAAAATCTCAATAGAAGTCAAAATTATCTTATAGGATTATGATTTAGTAAATATTATTTATAAAATAAGTAAGAAGATTATATATATATTCATTATTGTATTTGAATATTGTGTATATTTAAAATCTAATTCAACAAGAATAAACTCTATATCTTATAATACAAATTTATAAAGTGACTGACCTCCAAATTATCTATTAACATTATGTAATGTATATTTTTAAATTCATACATACATACATACATACATACATACATACATTAAATTTTAGATATTATTTTTTTATTTAAAAAATATAAACTTTTTCATCAATTCTAATTAGATGCATTCTTTTGTAGAATGTTATAATTATTATTGTTTAAATATTTCTAATTTAAAAAAAAAAAAAAAAAAAAAAAAAAAAAAAAAAAACTAAATTTGATGGAAATTTATTTTCTTTGATTATTACTTTCAAATTTAGTGAAATCCCCTCAAAATAAAATATATAACAATGAATTGATATGATAAGTAATATAATTTAAAATCAAATTTAAAATGATAAAAAACTAATAACATAATTTTGAAGGATATATATTAATAGATCAAATTAACCAATCAAATGCATTTTGGTTTCAAATTAAATACAAGTATAAAAAAAAGAAGACCTAAATAAAATGAACATTAATTAATAGCAAAGGCCACTATTACAATGAATCCAAACAAGCAAAGAATTGTAAAACAATTGCTCAGCTTTTGTTGTATTTAGCCTCTTTTTAACATAAATTTTATCTTTTACTATTGGTGGGCTCTCAACCTCTTCTTTGTCTTCTTCCATCAAATCAAGAAGAAACAACTTCTATCCTCATAAAGAATAAACATTTGTAATATTTTTTTATTTAAATGAAAAATTTAAGTAAGTCCAAAACTTGTCAACATACTTTTCAGGCTAAGGAGGATGGACCCAAGTGAAGATACTAGGATTCAAAAGAATAAAATGCATAAAATAATTAATAGTCAAAACATGCTTGACTATTTGTCTGTGCTTAGGTTTGACCTTCGAATCTTATCCAAACAAGGGCTCATACTTAACTATCGTGACAAGCTTAAGGTCATTTTTTTATATTTACAATTGACTATAAAGTTCGAAATAATTTTATAGAAAAGAGTTCTACATTTGAATGTGGCAAAGGCAGAACCATTATGCCAAATTGTCACATGGTGGATAAGAATCCGTGTGTAACATTTATCCAGGACACACAAACCAAAGAATTGTTCTATCAAAGCACCTCAATCATCCCTTCCACTCCTTTTCTCCAACACAAATTCAATCTCCCACAACAACAACAACAACAACAAAAAAATACAAATTAAGTTAAAGAAACACAACAAACACAAAGCAATAACAACGGAGTCGTTAACAGGGAAACACAAATGGGTGAGCAACCAAATCCCAAAGACTGCCGAAGCGAGAGAGCCACAAAGCTTACCGCCACATAGAGAAGAGGAACAAACAACAAACAACGTAAGGAATCTTTGTCCGCAATGCCGTTATAGCGAAGTTCCACAACTGGGCCACTAGAAACCGGGCATGAATGTAATATGAGGCCAGAAAAAGGCCCAATGGAGATTAAAAATAATATAAAAAATACAAAAATAGAGTAGAGGGGGGGGGGTTATACCGTGAAACGGATGATGGAGATGGGGTCGTCGTGATTTTGGATTGATTTGCGTGTGATTGTGGGTGGGGAGCTGTTTTTTTACTGGAACTGACACCCTACTACCATCGCCCTACCCTATTCTTATTGTTATTGTAATTGTATGTATGTGCGAGTTAGTGAGTGTGTGACTGTGAGTGTGAGCACATGTGTTAGTGTGTGTGTGTGTTGGGGCGCAGCGGAGCTTGCTAGGTCCGCCTGGGCGTGAGGGGTGTTGGAGCAGGGGGGACTGACTAGGGTGGTGGGGGCAAGGGAGGGAGGATGGATGCAGCGATGGTGATGGTGGAGGAGGGTTATTGACGACTACCGGTACCTGTTTGTTAGTTAGTTACCTGGTTTCTGCTCCGCTACAGACCCAAGGGTTTCGGTGCTTTGCACTGGCGAGCGGACGGCCGGGCGATGTAGGAGGGATTGCGACATCCTTGGAATTGAGATCCTTCTCAGGGAGACCGGGCCGTGTTCTGTCTGTCTGTTTGTTTGATTATTTTTGTTATTTTGTATTTTTATTTTTCCCCAGTTTCCGATGTCGTTTCTGTGACCGTGGAGCTCATGGCGCCTCCATGAGCCCTCCGAATTGTGGCACAGCTGAAAGCATCGTCAATAGATGGACCTGGAAAGGGGAAATCAAACCAAAAACCAACAAAGGAAGACAAATTGTGTCTAGTCTAGAGTCGTGATTAATTTAGTTTTCAAGGAGAAACGTGTTGCCGGGTCGTAGTGTGAAGCTCCTCCTGGGTTTCTGTGTATGATCGGGAACGCCATTGTGACTCGGACGTGTTTCGTGGCGGTGTGGGTTGCTTTGTAGGTCAGTGCGCGATGATTGGTGAAAGAAGTAGTATTATCGGGATTGTCTTTTGATTGTGGAGTTTTCAATGCTGATCATTCTGGGCGCGGAGATTGGGGATTTTTTTGGGATTAGGTAGCGGTGATGTGCAGCAGCAGTAAAGAATGTGGCGTGATTTTGAGGGAGGGAATGTGGAAGCCGTCTCTGCGGTTTAGGATATTTTCATGTGTAGTTGGAGGGAGATTTAGGTCAGGGCAGTTTTGATGTTGCAGTAAAGGGGGTGGTATATGAGTACTGTTGGGAATGTGTGCCAGGGGGATATGGGGGAGGTGATGGAAGAACGGATTTGATTCTTCGATCTCTAGTGCCGCCAGTTGGTTTTGTCGGCACGAATTTGACAGGAACGTTCTCTTCGCCGATTGTTGTGAATTAGGGCGCGGGCTCAGTGCTCGTAGTTTAGGTGCCGTTTGGGATCTTAGGAATTTTTTGGGGGGTTGTTAGTTTCTAGGAAAGCATTCTGAGACCGACAAGATGCAGCGAAATTTTTCAGTCGATGATATCTTGGGCACATTCTGGAAGTTGGATACCCATGGGGACCCTAAAGGTACTGTTGTACCAATCCCCGAAGAGGTGGAAGATGATGAAGAAAATCATATTCCGGTGGTGGAGTCCCTCAGAACGATCGAGGTGGACAGGGGCATGAATCGGAGCGCATCTGAGTATGCATTTCAGGAGTTTCTAAAAGTGAGTGAAGCTGGCGGAGGGTTTTTGCGGCCAAAAAGTCGGTTCAACGATGAGGACATCAGGCACAATAATGATGATGAGGATGATACCGACCCTCCTAGTCCTGCGAGCCCTGGATCTCCCGAAACCTCCGAAAATAGAACCGAGTTATCTAAGCAAGGATCGGACGATTTCAACGAGGCTGACAAAGTGCTGTGCATGCCACCCACTGCACCACCGAAACAAGAGATCCGCACGAAGGGCGGGATTGTTGATCAAGTGGAGGATGCCTTGAATCCTTTGTTTTCAGGTATTCGACACGAGGTTGAGAGTGCTGCCACCGTGTCAAACAGTCCTCAAGAATACGAGTACTTTCTGAAGCATAAACTCGATATGGCTTGTGCTGCTGTTGCCCTTAGTCGGGTAAGATTCTCACTTCCACGACACGCTGAACTGCAAACACATTTCCTCCATTGATTTGGGCTTTTTTTTTGTTATTTTAGATGTTTAGTCTTGGATGTTTTTCTCCTATGGCCAATTTAAATCGTCTGAAGAACAGTTGCTGAATTATGACTCTATTTCTACATGCTCACTGTTGATTTCTTCATATGCACAGTAAGGTCATCCACATGCCGATCTTTGCATAGTTTCTTTGGTTGAACAAAACTTAGAAGAAACACATATAGTACGGTTGTCATAGTGTCTGACGATTCTAATGCTTTTGCAAGCAGTCTACTGTCGGTGGGGCTAAAGCTGGGCCACTAACTCTGCAGTCGAGCATTACTCCAGGAGCAAATGGTACGTGGTACTTACTCAATATTCTCACCTGCATCAAATTTCAGGTTTCTCTGCTAACAACATCATTAACCTTAATAAGGTGGAGCTCTCACCAACCAAAGCTCTGCAATTTGATGGATCTTTATCTTTTGACAATATCGCCGAAAGTGTTGTAAGATGAGATAGCTCGAGGAAGTACTTCACTGCAATCTTAACTATATTGGTCGCATGGAATATCGTGCCTTCGCGGCCATTTTTGCGTTCAAGGGACCTCGCTGATCTTATAGCCTCGTGAGTTTTTGTGTAGGTATTTTTTCGCCTCCTCAGGTACAGGAGTTACAAATATAGTATAGGGCTTCTTTATCGTTGTGTGGAATTCTTTTTAACCGTCAACGGGTACTTTTCAGATATTATTAGTGGAGATCCAATTGGTATTCCTGCGCTGCCTCCGAAGCCTGAATATGGTGCTGTAGTTCCTCCAGCCAGAAGTCGAGCTATTACGAGTGGCTCAGATGTTTCTGAAGATGATGAATCGGAGCAGGGTCAAAATGCGCCACCTGGTGACATTAAGCGTGTGAAGAGGTGACGACTTGTATGACTATTGTTCTTCTAGTAGTTCTTGTTTTCTCGGTTGACTAAGGCTAGCTCAAGACTGGTAAAGAAGCTGAGGTAATCGGGACATATGTTGTGTCTAATAGGGGAAATGAAAAATAGAACACGTGCTTAGATTCCAATTGGCGGTTGCATCCATGATAGGTTTGTTGGTTGCAACTATCTGATTGCGTTCCATTCTTGTGAAACTTTGCAGGATGCTCTCCAACAGAGAGTCAGCACGACGATCACGGAGGAGGAAGCAAGCACATTTGACTGAACTTGAGACTCAGGTCTGATGTTTACACTTTGTGGAATTGTCAGATATGTATATACGAGAAACAGGTTTAGTATCAGCATGATTCTATATCTGTCTAAATACGTGAATGTTCTCAAATTGACGGTATTCCCGCCAGGCAGATTTGTGAAGATTTACACATAATACTTTCTACAGTAATTTGTAAAACACCTCTTTGAATTTGGCTTTGGTGTGTCTCCAGGCTGCTCAATTGCGTGCTGAGAATAGCTCAATCTTAAAGAGGGTAGCTGAAATCTCACTCAAGTTTCAAGAAGCAGCCTTAGAAAATCGTGTCCTCAAGGCAGATGTTGCATCCTTGCAAGCAAAGGTGAATGATTTTGGCATGAACCGAAACTCAGTTCTCTTGTAATTACTGCTTTGTAATTTTCAGAGGACAACATTTCTGACCTCCCTGAGAAAAATCACTTAAATGCTGCCATGCAGATTGAATCACTTTAGTCACTCAGATTTGCTTATGTAGAACAATGCATCACGAACTGTTTGGTTCTAAAATATGTGTGAATACCATTTTTGCAGCTGAAGATAGCAGAAAGCATGGTAGCTGGGACAACTGATGGACGAATTGGGTCCATGGATTTGCCACAGTCTACCCCAAGATATATGACCTACACAACAGGGGGTAATGGTTCGCAGTATTTGCAACAAGCTCCTGTCGTGCAGCAAGAACAGCAGCAAGGATTCGCTGGAACCAAAATGGGGCGAACACCATCAATGCAGCGGGTTGCAAGTCTCGAACATTTACAGAAGCGAATTCGTGGAGGCCCAACGTGTAACAACCCCATGTGGGGTGGGTCCTTTGAGGACGGGCACTCCATGTTGGAGCAACATGAGGACTGAAAGCTTGACTTGCCTACTAAGGGTATCTGGTCTTTTCCTTTACTTTGCCACCTGTAACGAGACCCCAGTGAGATAAGGGGGGAGGAGACTGGAAGGACATGTGATTAACTGGAGATCGAGAGTCTCTCTCAGTATTCGAAGGAGCAGACGTATCACGTAAGAACCATGGATCGTGATTGGCAAATTGAAAGCAGGCAATGCGTACCTGGATCGGTGCTGTTATATTAGCTCTTAGTTTGTTCCGCTTTAACTGTCTGAACACAGGGTAGAATAAGGTGATCTTCGGATTTCACGGCCAAGCAGCAATGATAGCAACCGAGAAGGTTGAACTCTATGGTTCCCTTGCAACTTCAGTGATCGCTCTGAACATCTGGCAAGGTGAACAAAACTGGTTGAGTTCAGCATTTTGCAAACACTATTTAGGATTATACGAGTGCAGTTTGGAGAATTTGCGTTGTACAGAATTATATACTGGGACCTTGTAGACTTAGGATAACTAGATGATTTTTCATGGACCCAAGCACGCAAGTGATCTCTCAATTACTTGATTACCACATTGTTTGACTTACTCTTGGAAGGGGTGTCAATATGGGATTTAGGGCATCAGTGAACTACTCATACAAATGTTTTGTCTACATTACTCTTGTATTTCAGTGTTTGTAATGTCATTACAAATGATTAAGTTTAGATTCATCAATTCATTTCAGTTCAATCTTTCTAAGTTTTCTAGCGTCTTTCCACTGTTTAACAAGATTCTTATCTTGAGAACCGTCAATCACCATCAACTTCAAAGGCTTTGATTGAATTGTAGGGGAAGTTGATATTGTTGACCACGTGTTAAAGAGAGGTTCATAGCTTCTAGATGCACCAGGAAAGTGCTCACATTAAAATTTCACACAAGAAACTGACTGCATTCAGGTGCCCACTGTGAGTTGGCCCCCAAATAAGAGTAGGGTTCATTTGGACGCTGTAAATTTTATGTGTTTATCCTTTCACTGGAAGTGGAGGGATTCCAATCTATTAGACAACGCAGGCATCCATACATGCGGCTCTCGTTGCTCCAAGTAAGTCACGCCATGTATTCGATGGAATTTATAAATTTTCAACATCATACACTTGTTTCTGTGTAGGGGGGGGGAGGGGGGGGAGTTGTTGAATGGGATTTGTCTGCAAAGAATTTTGCAAATTCGTTCTGTACAAAAGTATTTAGTCTCTACATGTGCCCCTAACACAGTCCAACCTTATGGTTCTGAGTGGGAGCGAATCGAAATGATTTCAATCTATTCCTTTCCAGGGGAACAATTACTCCCCGTTGAAGTGTTCACGTAGTATCTCCACTCACCTATGTTCGTCATCAGTTAGCATTGGCGTCGTGGAGTGAGTCACAGCAATATAGTTTAAACACAATTATAATAACAAACTTAGTAAAAACGAAACTCTTAAGAAATCAATTGTTTAGATGTCATGTTGTTCCACCATGGCTGGGCCCTCCATCTCCCAGTAGCTGTTCCCGGAGGGAGTGTTGCAAGTCACGCCGCTCCGGATGCGCTTCTGCAGATGCTCCAAGCTGGCAACGCGCTGCATCGACGGGGTACGTCCCATCTTACCCAGACCAGTACTACTCTGTTGGTGATCCTGGTGTGCTAAAGGAGTATTTTCCTTTACCTGCTGCATATACTGCGCGGATTCATCGGCGACGGGCTGCATTTCGTAAGGCAACACATATCTCAAGCTGGGTTCCAAGATAAATTGTCCACCAGGAATTTGTCCATGCCTCGCCATCAAATCTCGTGCTGCCATATTCACCTGATTGCATTTGTAGGAAAAGCCGTAAGAAAAAGACGCATCCATAAAGAAGTAAGACCTGAAGAGATGAAATGCATGATATTCCACAGGACTGACGCAATCGGACACGTACCTTGGCACGTAAGGCTTCGCAATCTGCCGTGAGAACACGATTGTCAATAGCTGCTTCTTGGAACTTTTGACTGATATCTTGGAGTCTCTGCAACAGATTTGTATTCTCAACCCTCAATTGAGCTACCTGCATTTCCAGCTCACTCAAATGGGCCTGTTTTCTTCTACGAGATCTTCTGGCAGATTCGCGGTTAGACAGCATCCTGGACCACCAGAATAATACATTTGAGGCTCAGTGCAGTTGCGAAGTATGTTGAAAAAGGATGTGTAATTGTGTACGGCGACAGTAGATGCTTGCTGCTCAAACTACGTACCTCTTGACGCGTTTGATGTCACCAGGTGCTGTCTTTCCGTTCTGCTCGTCATGTTCTTCATCTTCAGAGACTTCCGAGCCGCTGGTGATTGGTCGACTCTTTCCCACATCTGCATCGGATTTCTCCGCAGCAGGAAGGTTACAAGCTGATGTTTTTCCTTTCGGAGGAAGTGTTCCTGCACGTTAATAATCAGAATTAGTCCAACCGCACTTTCTCTCCTGCCTCATCCTCTGCCCGCACTAAAGATGCAGCACTAATTCAGGCTTCAGATGATTAGAACTCGTGTCAAACTCTTCAATCACAAAACATCACTACAAAACCCAATCTCAAAGAAATCCGGGTACAAATAATACCAGATGCTTGGATTTTTGGTGATGGTTCTGCTCGCCCAACACTAGCTTCCGCTGATCCTCTTGTCTGTCTTGCCTTTGCCTGTTGCCAAATTAACTTCTGGATTGTCAGCATCCATATCATAAGTAACGTTTTACTTTTCTTTTGCAAATGAGCCAAACAACCATCGAATCCCCGTCTCCTTATTATTCTCTGTACTACCTTACCTGGAGACGGCTGCCACTTTCACTCTCTCAATACTTGCCGATGTCTAGTATTGTGTTCAACTCATAATCTGATCAAACTCCTCCGGCCATAAACATTCTTCCAGAATTAAATTCAACTAGCATTTCGCTTCCCTGAGATACACATTCTCTCGCTACGGAGGTTCATCTTTGGTGAAATTTAATCCATCTGAGCATGCATCACCAAAACACATCTGAAGCATATAGAGGCACATAACTGTCACAAAATTGCAGGCTTTATGGAGATAGCACAAGTACCCGAGTCATGGCGACTGCAGCACAAGCCATCTCCAGCTTGTGTTTTAAAATGTATTCGTATTCCTGGGGATATCTAACCCCATCCAGGGTGTCAGGCGCGACAGGGTTACCGGCTATTCGAGCATGGGCAGTAATCGCTTCATTGTCGTCACGCATACCTGAGAACAAAGGGTTCAACGCGCCCTCCACTACAACACTCGGATCGTTGTCGTCCACAACCTGAAGTTCCTCACTTGTCCCCATGGGCGCGGAGAAATCTGAGCTTCCGGAGTGAGGATATAATCGAAGCTCGGCTGCACTGATGTAAGGCTCCTCACCTACATCTTCCTCCTCAGCCCTGAGAGATTCCTTCACTTTCTGTGCCTCGGGTTCGCACACCTTGACATCGCCATGCTCCATCAGGAACCGGCTCTTGCAAGCAGGCCGCAGCTTGAGGGCCCCTGGGCCAGCGGCAGCGGAGTGGCTGTCTTTAAGAAATTCTTGAAAAGACCATTCGGATGCACTCCTGTTAATCGTCGTGGATGCTGCTGCCTTGTCTACAAGATTGGCAGAATCGTCCCAGAATGTGCCCACGAGATCGTCGACGGAAGATGAGTGTTCCATATCTTGGGGGGGAGATTGGGGGGAAGATTGAGGCGTCGTAGCTTGACCTCTGAGCGACCTGGCTCCCCTAATTTCTCCCTAGACTTGGCTCTCTTAGTTGACACGGTGCGGAAGACTAAGCCCAATTTGTACCCGCTCCACTTCGCCTGCACACTCCCGATTGACCAACACATATGGAACTGAATGAAGACCCCAACGAGGATTGCTGGGATGGGTTACCTCGACCAATCTAGTGCTCGTGCTAGGTCTTTATCATGATCACAAGCTGAAGGGGTCGCCTGAAATATTTCTTCGTCGTCGACAGACAACTACCTTGTGAGTGATGGCCAGTTCCACGAGCGCCACTTAAAAGTACCAGTCCGATTGGCTTCGGAATTTTTTTCTTTCAAGCAAAAACTAGCTGCATCTAATTGAATAGCTTTGGCTTAATTCCAATCCGGATCAGAAGAATCCAGCCCCGACGGATTAAACACACGGAGATCTTGATGTACACATAAAAGCAACTACGTTACACTGGTGGTCTGAAACTTGTAGTGTGCTCTAGAGTATCGGTGGAACTTCGACAGATATGGGAAAAGATAATTGAGTTATGAGAAAATCACAGGGTGTACCACCAAGTCTATAAGCTTGGATTGCTACAATCAAACTTGTCACCGATTACGGCAGCTATCGAGCAAGGAGACAGAGACACGAAGATTCAAAATAACTGAAAATTACAACTCTCACTGATAATTTCAAGGACAACCTAGATATGTGACGACCAGCTTCCCGCGAGAGAGAATACTGGAGTCAAGGCGCACTTCCCAAACGGAAATATGCTGATCAACTTTCCCGATGAACAACCCACATCAACTTCTCCAAATTTCACAAGTGTACACTCACGGGCAGATTGACTCTGCACTGCTCAAGTACTCCGAAAGAAACCAGAAAAAAAAAAAAAAAAAAAAAAAAAAAAAAAAAGGAGCTCTCAACTCACGGAGCAATCCCACAACCCACTGTCTCGAGTGGAGGCACAGGGGGGTTTTGATACCGATCCAAGAGCTAAACCCCTCACGAGCACTGTGCGGGTGTGGGGCAGGATTTTCTAAAGCAGCAAGTCGTTTTCCGTGACACTCTCGTCAACACCGGACCCGAATGTGAGAGATCGCGCCGGCTCCCTCAAGAAAGCAGCTCACTCCTCGTGATGACTACTACTCACTCCAGCCGTCGTCTGCTTCCACTTGGACTCTAGATCACACGAAGCCCGCTCAGGGAGATCGCTCGCTCCACTTTACTTTCGACAGTGACGAGGAATCGGAACAATCACAACCCCCATTTCAGTCTCTCTCTCAATCTCTCCTTTGCCTTTGGACCCCACGTTCATGCCAGTGAGAGCAGGAGACGCGCGTGGCGATCGATCAGGCGCTTCACTTCGTGGAAACGTGCTCCGCAGCCTGCAAAGCCAATGCATTAGAGCATCCTGCGCCGGGGCGAGACCCGCAACAGGTGGGGCTCGCACGCCCCGGCGCTCCCGACCTGGCCAGGCGTCTACGTGCCTTCCATCCAACGGCCACGGTGCGAGTCCGAGGGCTACGATCGGCAGCTATGGATACGGCAAGTCAAACGGAACCGTCTAGTGGATATGAGGTCTTATCCAGCGTGACGTGGCCGTGTGGGCTAGTGTTCTACGCAGAATGGTCTCTCTCTCCCACTCGCCTGTTCTGCAATTGGAATTAGCCGTCATCTGTCAGACGGTTGGTTGCGCTTGGAACTGGCCTACTGGGGTGGTAGTGGCTTTGCATGGTGAGATCAGTTTCGTCCGCTTTACAATCATGGTGTCGCGCTGCATTGCAAATGGGAGTATGTGGGAGGAGTCTTCTGGTGCTTCTTGCCTAGCCTTGTCTCCTGCCTTCCTATTTTCTATGCACAAGCTTGTGTGGAGTGCACTTTACTCATTTCATTCATGGGGTGGGTTTGTGAATGGATGTCTGGATGAATGAATTATTGGATGGATGGATGAGATGTGATGAGATGTGATGCTGGGTGGTGGGTAAAGCTGCATTAGAGTTGACCAGAAAGTACTTCTAATATTGCCCTTCATAGTTGTGCTTCATGGTCTCGGTTGGAGGGGGGGGGGGGTAATGTCAAGCACCCAAGCATATGCTGGCCTCATATGTGTGTGTGTTTATATATATATATATATATATATATATGTGTGTATTACTTTTCTAAGGATGAGAGTGCCTGCTTCCTCCTGTGTCTAACCCAGGTTCACATGTGTCATACCACTTGCTTAATTTTTGATACTACTGGAAAAAGCTTACAATGATTATTGTGCTCCTCTGTACCCAGATTTATTTTCCAGTTAGATTTAGTGTCAGTGTGTTCTGGTTTATGGGACTTTCTAAAATAAAGACCAAATGTCACAATGCAAATTAAAGTCTAAAAAATGAAAAAATACAAAAACAAAAACATAAACATAAAAAAAACAAAACAAAACAAAATGAAATGAAATGAAACAGAATACCAATCCCTGGATTATTTTTTTCATGTTCTCAATCGTTTTTTGTCATTATTGTCTCACACACAAAATGGGGTTTGGGATTAAACATGTGCTAAATGTGAAAGATGAGTTGGAAATTTCCTTCAAATTTACGAAACCACTTTTAAAATGTGATGAAGGGCTTAACTCTTAAAAAATGAAAATATAAACATAGTTTAAACAAGGCAGATGCTGTTCCAGGTTGATAATTATGATTTTGTTTAGGCTTCTGTTCAAATAAGCAGTTTGGTGGCATTTTATCAGCCTGGTTTTCTTCCTGACCACTATTAGTTTTTTATTATTTATAATAATAATTGAAGTGTTCTCTTGATCTCAGACCACTTGAGCCTCCACTTCTTGCTGCTTCAGCCCTAGCAATAGCCTTTGCAATATGGGGATCCATGTGGTGAGGCTTGTGGGGCCAAATTTAGCAGATATGCTTTTGCCCATGGTGGAACATTCTTAATAGTGAATTATAAGAATAGCCCAGAGTTGAGCAAGCAAGGGGAACGGGTTGGTGGTTCTAGAAACTTCTAACTCAAGCTTTCTTGGGTATTCATTCATTCATCCGTTCATCCATTAACATATCTGTCCATTGTGCTCCCGAGCTTCACCAAATGTGTGTCAAACAAAGGCCCAGAGTTTGGGATTTAGGGGGGGGGACCGATTTCCATAGCACAAGCAGGAGAACAAAAATTTAAGTATGTCTTGGGCAATGGATAGTGTATTGAAGTGAAGTCGAGGAGCATTAATACCTTTGCTCCACCACTCATAAAACTAATATTTTGAGTAAAAAAAAGGTAAAGAGTCCATAAATGTTATGAACACAATAGAAAAATGATTCTGCATTCCACAGTTTGAAAATCCTTGAATGGTGCAGTGAAGAATGCCAAAAACATCATGATAGTAAATAATTAATTAAATCAAACGAAAATAAAATCATAGTAGAAAAATATTATTGCGATTCTTTCCAACAAGGAACTCCAGGATACTTAAGGTTCATAAACTTTAGAAATTTTTATCCATTGATTTTTTTGTAAAAGGATTCTCAGATAAAAGTATTGTTATCAATTCAAATTTAAAAAATCACAAAATATCATTGAACTGTAAATGTATCATATGTTGCAATTTTTTTGAAAATAATTCTAATCCTCCATGTAATTTTATTCTATCTCAATATACATATGTATATATAAGGGGAATTATTTTGTGTACAATAAATCAAGGAGGTAAAATTTTCAACAAAATGTTCCATATCACAGCACTATTCTAGAAACACAATGCTATACAACATGTTTCAACTCATGAACATAAGACTTAAGCAAAGTACCACAAGCTCTCTCTCTCTCTCTCTCTCTCTCTTTCAGTATGTATATATATATATATATATATAAATATATATATATGCTACAACCCTTTTTTCTTAGTAGGAGTTCATCAATCCTTGTTTTGGTGCATAATGAAGACATGTGGATAAGAAATGCACCATTGAATCATACATCCATGAAGGAATGATGTCCATGGATGCTTTTTTAAGAAAAGTGAATAGCAGGAAGTATTATGCAAACCTGAAAGGATAAACAAAAAGAAGTCATTTTGCAACTCTTTCCAGCTTGTGTTTGGTTTTTTTTCTTCTTTTTATTTCTTTTGTTGTGGTGACTTTCATTCCTTTTCTCATATTACATTTAGTACTTGGATTTGTCAGTGAAAAAAGTAATACACAGTTAAACGCAACCAACTGACAATTTGGAAATTTATTTATTTATTTATTTTTGTATGAATAAGAGACTTCAATGAAAGTGTTGTAAACAAAGGGAACTGCAAGCAAATGGAACCATTCTCACATTGTGCAATTCTCACCTAACTCTTAATATATATATATATATATATATATATATATATTACTTCAGTCCAATGCGTACGTGGCGATCCATCATTGTTTGTGAAGATATCCCGGAAATGGGAGCCAGATGTATTTGTGTTGGGGCGGGCGGTCATAGGGTCACATTGGCTACATCAGCAGTAGCAGAAGAAGAAGCCAGGCCGGGCAGGGTGTGGGAGCCCATGACCCTAAGGACCCGGTCGCTGACGTGTACTTTGCGCTTTCTGTACATCCTGTGGTTTCGACAGTCCCTGACAATGGGCACCTTGGGGCCTCGTGACGAGACAAGGTTTTAAAATTTTATAACGAAAAGAAAAACAAAAACTATGCTTCCATCTTGGATTCTGTTCCATGCTGTTTGAATGCCCCCTGTCCCCTTCAAACCCTGCTTGCTCTAATGAATAATCATGTCTCTATGAATGTGTCACTATTATGATTCTACATCTTACTAAAATCATGCAATTTTTTAAAAAATTTCAATAATTTATATTCTGTTTTTTACAATTCCTATGTCATTTCTTTTTCTTAATTTTTCTTCGTTGATTCCTATACAAATTTCCTTATATTCACCTAATATGTGTATCATACAAATAATCTTATTGTCCTTTACAAATATTCTTTGTAATGTTTTTACTAGTGTGGGTGAGAGAATCACAAGAACCTATATTTATACAAAAATGGAAAGTAGGATATGAACCTATTGAATGCAATAAATTATAAACGAAATTTGAAAGAAAAAGAAAAAGAGAACAATAAAAATTAGAGTTAGTAATGGAAATAAATACACCAATAAAAAAAATTAAAATTATTTATAAAAAAAAATCTAAGTCATCACCCTCAAAAAAGAAGGAAGCAGAGAGTTAGTTATGGACATGCCACTTTAAATTAGGGTTTTTTTTTTGGCAAAAAGCCATAGTTTTCCAAGAATAAGGTTAAGAAGATACCTTAAAATAAGGCCTCGATGGTCTTCTTAAGCATAGTTGGGAAGGTGCATCATGAGGCAATGTGTAGTCACACCAGTCACAAAGAAGGGTATGTACATTGATTTTACAGTGGTGAAGGAATTGTAGACTCCTTAGAAATCCTTTGCAAGAGTGAAGTTTAGCCGTGCACCAAATCCATAAGATGAGAATATAATTCAGGTCATCTCAATGCACTGCTTGTTTTGTGAGAAGCTTGGTTGTGAAGAAATTGATCTTACATGGCGTAATTGAAAGGAGACAGTAAATGTGAAAACCTTTTTAATTCCATTCAGTACTGATAACATCATGGTGCACATGAAGTTGCATTATACTCAGACATGGACAAAGTGAAATGCCCTTCTTGATGCTTCAAAGAAACAATTCTTTGACTAAGTGAATTTCAACAACTCTCTTGTAGCTCATTTTGATGGTGAAAATACACTCATGTTTGCAATCAATCAAGACATTATGGACATAATTATTAATGACATGTTGTTCAATGTCTAGAATGAAGAATCCACACCAACATGTGAATGAACACTCTCCATTTTTAAGCTCTTTGAAGATGCAAATATTGACTAAATTGAGCTTGATAGAAAGCAAGACTTAAATCAAGAAGTGTACAAGGTGGAGATTAAATCTTTTTGTTTGTTTTGTCTCATGATTGACTTTGTTTCATGTGGAGTTTGTTTCACATGATTACACGTCTTGTGGATGTCACTAAAATTGTATAGCACATCAATTGCTTTAGTGGATGCAGTAAA